GAGCCAAAAGCTAAGAAAACTCTTGAAATTTACATGGGCCTGGTCCAATCAAACTCAGATTTCTCGAAATAAATCATCGTGGCCCTCGCTGGCCTCGCAGGCCCAGATTCTGTGAAACAGAGACCCTGGCGCCTGCTGGTACCGAGGGCAAAGAAGACTTGGGATCTCATAGCCTGCCTCACTTAGCCTCTCACGTGTCCACTGGCCGCCCGTTGTGACGACCACGTTCAGAGCCCATTCGTCGCCGATGTCGGTGGTGCGGAGCCTCGCCATCTCCCTGCAGACGTGGCACGTGTCTGCGCCGCCTGGGAAGCCGGAACTGTCCAGGTGGTTCGACGCAGTGGACCACGGCAAGGAGTCAATCGATGCTTCCCTAGGAGACCCGTAAAATCTCCATGAAACAAGTCAACCTCTTCATCAGCCACTGAGGGGAAAGACCAACTCGCCTGATGCGATTGCCATAACATCGGGAAAATGGGCTGCCCACCAACATCCAGCAAGGTCGCGATAGCAGCTCGCATCGGGCCGTTCACTAGTCTCCATCGCCTCGAGCCTGCCAGCCGTAAACGTAGCCTGATCTTCCCCCAGGCTTGGGCTGCCCGACTGTGGTATGCAGGATGTTCACGCCATGGCTTCAGCGATTGCTAGAGCTGCTCGCGTCTGATGGCCTTGCCAGGGTCCTTCGCCTTGAAAGCGATCGCCACCGACGTAGTCAGACATCGTCCTGAACCACTGCCCACGGAGCACTGCGCGGCCTGACGTCGCACCGTGGTGAGAGTATGAGCAGGTACTCCGTGGGCCTGATGACCGCGCGTGCACTGCGGGCGTGCACCCTATTGACCACAGCGATGCAGTGATTCCTCTCAACTTAGCATGTCTCCTCACTCCGCGAATAACCTGAACTCGTCCACGAGCTTTGGCGATCCGATCCTTCATATTTTGATATGTCTCCGCTTGCCTGCAGTGGTGTCTATGCCCAAGTCGACCGCCACGCCCATCTCTTCTGCAGGTGCACCTCGGTCGCGGAGTCGCTATGACACCTGCCCGGCAATCTTGGGAGATGATGCAACCAATGCTGTTTTGTCGCACGCCGTTAAGCCTGCGCGAACCAGCCCTTCACGCACGTAGCAGCCCGACTCCGACATCTTCTGTATAACTTGTCTCTCCGCGGCGTCGACGCTGATGGCTGCGTCGCCGACGATCGCCCGGGGTAGCATCTGCAAGCCAAATCCATCGTGGGCTCTCGATCGAACGGGGCCCAAGTCGGAATTACCCATGGGCCCACCAGTGATAGAAACCGCCACGGTGCCTCGGTATGCCTGAATGGGATGCAAAATGCAAGGGCATTCCTTCAAGAATCTGGGAGGAGGGTGCATTTGGAGTTCCAGTGACAATACCACGGTAGGGGAGTCTTGGGCCAGCGCCGCAGAACAGAGCTTGCATCAGTCCAGGCTGCCGTAGAACTTCTCTATATATCCAACTGCAGCGTAGCGGAGAAATTTGAAGCTCGCGCCCCGACCCATCGAGGAAGCTGCGAGCTGGCGCTGCCTGTAATGCCGATGATCCTTTGCTCGCAGTGTCCCAATATTTGTCAGCATCACTAATCCACTGCAATGTGTCTGAGCTGCGCGCCTTAGCCCAGAGCTACGCCAAGAAAGATAATCACCCCAGTGCTCGATCTGCGCCGCGCGGTTTCGGCGCCGCAGCTCCCATGACCAGGGGTACTTGCCCAGGCCACATGCAATGCTCCCCGATGTCCACGAATGCGCTTCTGAGCTGGTCCAAGGCCCCCGTTGGTATCCGCTGCGCCTCTAAGGGGCCCATGGCGTCTACCCCCTTGAACTTCTTGGCGTTCATGTTAGATACCGCCTTGCAAATCATGTCCGTCGTAATATCAGGTAGTTCCTACTCCCTGGCTCAATTGCTGGGGTACTCCAGCCGTTTCATGGTCTTACCCTCAGTGAAGTTGGGGCTCGCCCAAATATCCTGCTCTTGGTCTACCCTGTGGTCCATGACTTCGTTGGGGGGTGAAAAGCAATTCCGTGTTCGTGAGGATCTCGTCGAGCTTGTCGATGGTGCCTCGCGCGCATCTGTGGAGTACTCCTGGCGTGGGCGCCCACATCTTCGTCGCCCATGCCTGCAAGCCACGCTGGGCATTCGTCATCGACTTGCCGATGGTACGGTCCTTGAATCTCCTCACCCAACTAGTTCCATGAAGTCGGAGCCTTCCAACTCAGTAAGTACCGTCATCATACACCCCCACTGCACAAACGTATCATCATCCTGAAATGTGCGATGCATGTCCTGGACAGGTACAACCTCCACCAACCCTTCCAACTTACCATATACCAAGTCCAAATCGGCGTGCCTGCCTGCCGTGCGTAGCAGGCGAGCTCGTAGTAACAACGTAGTATATATATATTTATATATCCCACCAGTCGCGGCACGGGCCACGAAGGTGTGATATATCTTGCGCGGCTCTTGTCTGCCCCCCAAGGCTCCTGATGGCCGCTGCCTCGCCCGCGTGCCCGAGCCGCTTCGCGGCGAGGTGGGCCATGATGCCTGACGGTCGCCCCCGTCCACCGTGCTGACCCAGACCGGGTAGCTGTTGGCGATGGAGTCGCGGACGGCCTGCTTCCGATCCACGGGGCACGTGGCGACGGGGCCCACTTTTCCACCTGGCATAGCGCCTGCGACTCCTGCCGCTGCTGCGTGCTGGCGCCCAGCGCCGCGCTCTCCGATGGCGTGGGGTCCCCGCGATGCAGCTCCTTCTATGCCTCGCGTAGGTGCTCGCCTATCTGCTCCATCCTCTTCTGCTTCGCCTCCTCTAGCCTCTTCTGCCTCTTGCTGTCTGGGTTGGGCCGCGCGGTCAGCCGCGGTGCCGCGGGAAGAGCGCGCGCTGCGATCATAATTCTGTTCCACCAAGCACGCGTGCCATGCTATGCGCGAGCGCGCGTGCCTGCGCGCGCGCCACGGCGCCTCAGGGGCGATGCTGGCCCGCAAGGAGTCAGCAATGCCAGTCTTTGCAATCGCATAGTCGATGAGGGGTCCTCGTTCACGCTTGCAGGTCACCTCTCCGTGGTTTGGCAATGCCAACTTCGCGTTAAGTTTGGTGAGCCACTTCGCTTCGCCCCACTCGTGCGGCCTCGCGTTCCAGTCGCCCATTAATATCCACGGGTCCTTTTTCATGTGCAAAAAAAACGCCGCACGTCGCAGCGGCATCTTCTCGTTCGCCCCACCAAACTTCAGACCATGTAGCAGATGGCACGACACCGCCACCATATTACCAACTCTCGTATGCCACGCGGCTGGACGGAACCCTCTAAAGCAATCCTCCCTTGTTCTCTGTCGCTCTGCTTCGCGTGGCCCCTCGAAGGACGTGGTAGTCGTGCGCCTCTGAGTTATGGTCCACTCGCCACCAGTGGTGCCACTTTGTGAACGTCCCGTTGCCGTGGCCCCCGTAGCTAGCAGCTTCCATCCATCTTCACCTTGGTCCGACTTTGCCCCATGTAACTTCTCTCCTGACATGTGTGTTTCCGTGGGGCCAATCAGATCGCATGCGTTGGCCTGGTTGGCCATGAAGAACCTCGCGATAGGACCCCGCTCTGAAATCTTGCCGAAGAAGGCCGTACTTGGTGATGCCGCGTCGTGTCCGTTGGGAGCCTGGTGTAGGTACACATAGAGGTTGAACCCGCAGTCATAACCTGATGCGCGTGGCCCTCGTGGAGGAGCCGGGTCCGAGGCCGAAGAAGAAGCGCCAGAAGAAGTAGCGCCCTTGCCGCCAGACTTGGCCTTATCCACAATCTTCTTGCGCTGCGACTCCAGTGCTGCCTTGCGCTCCTCTTCGCATGCCGCCTGAACCTCTGCCGACAACTGCTCGTCGTCGTGTGCCGCAGGGTTCTTGGAGGTGTCTTTTGCAGCAGACTCCTTATCCCCCTGCGCCGACGCCCCTGGCCGCCTGACCCCCTTCGTTAACTCGTTGCCACTTCGTCGCCCCAGAGCGGATGTCTTTGACCCTGGCGGAATTCTCGTGGACGGCCTTCTGGATGGGGGCCGCCTCATCGCACTTTTCCGCGATGAAGCAACTTCCCCAGCTCCTCCTCATCGAATGAGGAGACTTCCTTGAACAGGTCATCGTCCACAGCGAAGACCAACCGCTTGCCGTCCGTCGTGTGGCCCTGAAGGACGTACTTGATGTCCGCCTCCTCCGCGACCTTCGCCACTGCCTCCGCATGCTTCGCCTTGGCCGCAGCGCAGCATGTGCGATGGCCGCCTCCTCCGACGCAGCGGTCGCGACAGTAAGCTTTGCCCCGGCCTCCGCCTCAGCCTTGACGGCCCGCTGCGTCGCCTCTGACTTCCACTTGAGCTCCTTTGCCGTCCGAACGTAAAGCTCTTGAGCGGTAGGTGCGCGTACCTTGCTCTCGTCGAACTTCTCCTGAGCGCGCTGCAGAGGGCCACGCTCGCTGGCGAACTGCGGAAGCTTCGCCAACTGCTCGAGGAGAGCCGCTGGGTCGGGAGACGGTGAAGGGGGAGACGACGACCACGAGTTCCATGAGCTGGTCCTCTGCCTCTTCCAACTCCGCTCCCTCTGCCATGGTGGGCTGCGCTGATACACGTCCACCGCGCGCCCGCACTTCGCACACTTGTCGCTGTTGCGCGTGATGCGGAAATGGAACGCTCAATTCCCACACGCACAGACACTGAAGTCACCCTTCCTCGCCATCTTGGTGTGGGAGGACTCCTGACTGCTGCAGGGCGGGCGATCGCCGTGCAGGACACGGGAGGGGCCGCGAGTCCCCTGTGCCAGCTCAAAACTTGAGCCAACATGGATACTACTACTACTACTACTACTACTACTACTACTACTACTACTACTACTACTACTACTACTACTACTACGACTACTACTACTACTACTACTACTACTACTACTACTACTACTACTACTACTACTACTACTACTACTACTACTACTACTACTACTACTACTACTACTACTACTACTGCTACTACTACTACTACTACTACTACTACTACTACTACTACTACTACTACTACTACTACTACTACTACTACTACTACTACTACTACTACTACTACTACGTACTACTACTACTACTCCTACTACTACTACTACTACTACGACGACGACGACTACTACTACGACTACTACTACGACTACTACTCGACTTACGACTACGACTACTACGACGACGACGACTACTACGACTACGACGACGACGACGACTACTACTACTACTACTACTACTACTACTACTACTACTACCTACTACTACTACTACTACTACTTACTACTACTACTACTACTACTACGACTACTACTTACTACTACGACTACTAACTACTACTCAACTTACTACTACTTACTACTACTTACTACTACTACTACTACTACTACTAACTACTACTACTATACTACTACTACTACTACTACTACTACTACTACACTTACTAACTAATCTCTACACACTACTACAACTACTTAACTACTTACTACTACTACTACTACTACTACATCTAGTAGTAGTAGTAGTAGTAGTACTACTACTACTACTACTACGACTACTACTACTACTACTACTACTACTACTACTACTACGGAGGAGGAGGAGGAGGAGGAGGAGGAGGAGGAAAAGGAGGAGGAGGAGGAGGAGGGGGAGGCGAAGGAGTAAGAACCAGTGGCGGCTCCAGTAGGAAACAGGAAGAGGAAGAGGATGAGGAGGATGAGGAGGAGAGGGAGGAAGAGGAGGAGGAGGAGGAGGAGGAGGAGGAGGAGGAGGAGGAAAAGGGGGAGGATGTGTAGGACGACGAGGAGGAGGAAGATGAGGAGGAGAACGAGGTGGAGACCCCCCAGGGCCCCAAAGGGGCCAGAAGCGATCAAAAGTATCGATCCTTCGATTACTCGACGTTCACTTTCCACACTTTCCAGACGGCAAGTGCCCCTCAGCGGCCGCCGCCAGCGCGGCCGCGGTGGCGGCCGCCCCGCAGCGGCATCTGCTGCTGGAGAAATGATGCATCGTTGCTTGTTGATTTGGCCGCTTCCGTCGCCGTCAATTTCGTATTTTTTGTAGTTCTTGGTTTCTGGGGGCCGTTTTCGGGCCCCATTGCCGTCAGAAACGCACCTGGGACGACGAACTACCCCCCGGGAAGTCCCGCGGACAATTCTTCGACACGACTTGCGAGTGTTGCGATACCTCTGCAGGCTGTAGTCACCTCGCCCTGCGCTTCGCACGCCGCGGTGCGCGATGATCCTCGCCCTATCGCGCCGCCCTTGGGGACGGGCAGCCGCCCAAGGCCAGACCACGGCGTGCAAAGCGCGCGAGTGCCTTCGCGCCCCCGCCGACGATTTGCGCGTTTGTTCTGCCATGGTGTCTTGCCTGCTCTGCGTCAAGAAGTCCCCCGTGGCAGCTCGCACTGGACTCCTTTGAAGGGGAACTGGGACACATAAATAAATAGACACAAATAACCAGATTCCCAATATTTTCCCATATTTTCTGGGTTTCTGTCTTCCCCCCCACTGCAATCGAGGATTAATTGTGTCTGTGTGTTTTTTCCCTCCTGATTCTTGCTGACGGCCTGCCAGGGCCCCCTTGCAGCTCCTCGGGGGTGCTGCTCCCAGAGAGGGGGGCCGCCGGCCCAGCGGCCGCGCGAGCGACCCCGAGCACGGCCAGGGGCGGCGATCGGCGCTTCACCGGAGGCCACGCGGGAGCTTCGAGGTTCGGGGCTGCGGCCGGGAGCTGCCAGCTCGGTGCGCCGCGGCAGCGGCCGCGGCGACGCGCCGTGCCCTGCGAGCCGACGGCGTGTCGCTCCGCGCCGCGCGGCGCGAGGCTGGGAGCAGATTGGGGCGTGGGCGCTGGGAGGAGGAGGAGGAGGAGGGAGGAGGAGGAGGAGGAGGAGGAGGAGGAGAGGAGGAGAGGAGGAGGAGGAGGAGGAGGAGGAGGAGGAACGGAGGCGCGGCGCGAGGCTGGGAGCAGATCGGGACGCGGGCGCTGGGGGACTGGGTGTGGTGGGCGCGTCGCGCCGAAGCCTAGGCCAGAAGCGGGGGCGTGGCGCGCCAAGCAGCGGTTCCCGACCGCACCAGGGGTCTTGGAGCGTTGTTTGGGGCCTCCAGGGTGTGCCTTCGTGGGCACGGCGGGGTCCGCTCCGAGACCCCCGGGCAGAGCACGCCTCTGGAGAGGGAGCCGGAGGGCAGGACGGCCCCTCGCGTTTCAGTTTCAAGGTTTGCCGAGCTTGGGGTTCAAGATGCATCTCTGTTTTTGTTTTGTTTCTCTCCCTCTCTCTCTCTCTCTGTGGAAGACGCTCGGACAAATGCCGCTCCCATTTGTGAGGGGAGGGGCTGATTCCCTTGTGGGGGGTTGCACATCGGTTCCCTTTGTGAATGCGTAGAGGGGGAAATAGATTTCATTTCTGGCGGGGGAGGAGAATATCTGGCTCAGGGGGACATGCTTGAGGAAAAAAACGGCAGCCCCGTGAATACAACGGTCTGTTTTTGTTGTTGTTGTTGTTGTTGTTGTGTTTCTTGGGCCCAACAACAGAACAAACAAGGGGCCAATCTATTAAGATACCCCGTCTGGTTTCGAGGAGCCATTCCCCAGAGCCCACCCTTACTCAGGACCCCCTGAACTAACAAGATCCGTACTGATGGCCCCATTACCAGAAAAGGG